GGCTCTGCAGGGCCAGCTGCGGATATACTTTGAACTTTGCAAATGCATGGCCATTGCTGTCCAACATGCATTTGCCCGATGGAAAGTTTAGGCCTGTGTATAGATTATACCCCTGCAGCCTAAATGCTTAATTCTATGCCATTCATGGGGTAAATCACTTTGTTTATGCAATTCTAGCCACACCTACCCTTGCGGAGACTCACACATCCTCCCTACCCACAAAGAAAACGTCTAAATTCTAAATTCTTTAATTTATTGCTCAGTATGTTTAACCCCTTAGTGACCTTGGACGTATCAGGTACGTCCAACAAAAAAACAGTCCTTAAAGGCTGTGGACGTACCTGATATGTGCCATTCTGGGGCTTATATAGCAATGTTACCTCACACTGCCACAGTGGCTACTACAAAAGACTGGAAATACCCCATTTGGAATACCCTGGGTTGTCTACATTTGAAAATGGTATGCCATGATGGGGTTATTTCACATTCCTGGGCACCCATATGGTAACACAGACCCAGCAAACCAATCTGGCAAACTGAATTGGGCAAGCCCTATATTGACCCTGCACATTTTCAAAACTCCATAAAACCTGTACATGGGGGGTACTGTTATACTCGGGAGACTTTGCTGAACACAAATCTGAGTGTAAAACAGTCAATCTTATCACAACGATGAAATCACCAGTAAAAGTGCAGTTTTTGTGTAAAAAAAAAAAATGCAAAAAACAAATATGAATGCTAATTTTGGCAAGTGTTTCTGGCTAAGTGGCTACTACAAAAGACGGGACAAACCCCATTTTGAATACCATGGTTTGTCTACTTTTACAAATGGTATGCCATAATGGGGTTCATTTTCATTCATGGGCTGCTATACGGTCTCAAAGGCAAAATAGGCCCAGCAAACCAATCTGGCAAATTCCAATGTGCAAACATGGAAAAGGGGAAAGCTCTACATTTGACCCCTGTAAGTTTGCAAAAACCCATAAAACCTGTACATTGGGGGTACTGTTGTACTCGGGAGATGTTGCTGAACACATATTGGGGTGTTCTTTGTCAGTAACACATAACAGGAACTGAGAATCCGTGCCTAAAGTACAATGTGAGAAAAAAATAATACAAAAAAATGACTGCCCAAATGTTTGACAAAGACTGGTGATAAAATAAGTGCATGGAAAGTGTTAAAATACTACCATTTGAAATACTCTAGGGCAGTGGTTCCCAAACCAGTCCACATGGCCCACCAACAGTCCAAGATTTATGTATTTCCCTATTTTATTCCAATGGAGATACTAACAAAACCTGGACTGTTGGTGGGTAACATCACTCTAGGGTGTCTACTTTTTTGAAAATATATGGTTTAATGGGGGTAAATTTAATTTCGCCAGCTTCAAAAATGTCCCAAATAGGACATGGGTGCATGTTGACCACCTGTAAAAAAAAAAAAAAAGTTGGAAGACTGGAATGCGCAAATAAGGTCTTTTAGCCCCCAGAGAACCCGACATAGTTATACATGGGTGGTATCACTGTACTCAGGAGATGTTACTTGTGACAGAACCATCTGTCTGCTGGATTTTTGCCCGTTCGTCTGTTTGTCCCCGTTCGTATGAATGGCTGGTTTCTATAGCCCAGCCATTCGAATGACTCTTTTTCCCGAACAAAACCGCCGAACGAACGGCCACCCAAGTGAGGAGTGTGCTGCAGGTTAACGAAGTGATCACCATTATAACGTTGTGGTTAACCGCAGACACTTCTCAATTAAACCGAACTCAGGGTGGTCGTCGTTCGTATGTCGACCACGAGGCAGCGGCCATTTTAAATCATGCGAACGCTCAGCGGTGTTTGGCTCTATTTCTATGGAACGGAAAACGGACACTTTTTCTGTCGAACACCGCTGAAACAAGGGAACGCCTGGCTGCCTCCACGAAAGCATGCGAACATCGGCCGTTCGGGAGATTGAGAACACACAAAAGACTTAACCCAGATAGCCCACCCATGGAGTCATTCGTGTACCGAAGGACTGTAAGAACTTTGACTCCATGGCGATTGAACTATGTGTGTGGGATCTGAGCGCTATTCGCCAATAATATGCACTCAGATCCAGGCTATCTGGGGACATGTAATACGAATGGGAAATGTTCAGTCTTCATGTAGTTATGCATTTTTGTGTCTTTTATTATTTCATGTTTAAGATGGCGACTGTCCTTGTCCTGGAGTTAATTGAGTTACTTGGTAATTAACTCCAGGACAGAGGGGAGGGAATCAGAATGTACTGTGGGTAAAATATGTGACTGTGTGTCAGAAATGTCCTGCTATCTGTCTGTACTTTAAGTCTTCCATTTGGTCCCCTAGGGGAGTGTCCACCAGGTGGGAGACCTGCATAAATACGGGCAGGTAGCCCACAGTAAACCCAGATCTTATTTGACCCTCAATGCGGAGCTTCTGTCTCGTTATTGGGGGGATTTCTTCTTCACGTTAGAGACTGCTGGATGGAACGAAAGCCGCTTTGGGGATATTATTGTTCGACGGTTCCTAGCAGTTCGTATATTGCCGTTCGGGAGTTTGGAGCCGTTCGTGGATTTCGATCGGGAGATTGCCGCTTCCCCTGCATTTGGTTCGTGGGTTACAGAGTAAGCGAACAGAGACTGTACTGCAGCCGGGGAAGGTTTACTAAACGGCGGTTTGGCTTAAAGACACGGGAGGTGTCTTAACAATTGGTGGCAAGCGACGGGATGAATCCTACAGCACTGGAGGTCAGCTACAAGAGATGCAGTACGAGGAATTAAGGCGTGCTACACTTAAGGACATATTGGAACGCCGAGGAAGGTCAGCAAGCAATTTAAAGAAACGGGAGATTATTGCTTTGCTAATGGAGATGGATGCAGCAACGGGAATGGAAAGAGTCAACGTGCCCAGTACCTTGGATTTAACACCCGAGGAAATACAATTCAACCGGGCAGTACAAATAAGGCTGGCACATTTTGGCCCCAACCCCTCAGCTGACATCGTGGTTCGTGTGCAGGCAGCAGTTGCAACACAACAGGCAGCCCGGTGCTACTTCTAAGTGCTGTTTCTAAGTGTGTAGCTGGAGATATTCTGGAGAGTTTTACAGAAGCTTCAACTGTCTAAGAGCTGTGCTAAGAGCTTTCTTTTCTACTGTTACAGGTAAGATTCATCCGTAGGAAAAGGTTACTGATTGCACAAGGTTTGAATTCCTGTTGGTAGTTATAAGGCATTTGATTTGATTAAGCTAGTTACTTGCTGTTGATTGCTGGTTAATTAGCTATTGTTTGCAAATAAGCAGAGGCCTACCCAGGTGTTAAACATTCCTAGTGGGCGGTGATTTTAGGAGTTATATAAGGCCTGGTTCCATTAGCTTGTCTAATATAGCTTGGTGCTACTTCTAAGTGCTGTTTCTAAGTGTGTAGCTGGAGATATTCTGGAGAGTGCTGTTTCTAAGTGTGTAGCTGGAGATATTCTGGAGAGTGCTGTTTCTAAGTGTGTAGCTGGAGATATTCTGGAGAGTGTTGCTTCTAAGTGTGTAGTTGGAGATATTCTGGAGATAACCTGGAGGTAGTCTGAGGTATTCAGGAGGATAAAGAAAAAAGTTAAGATTTGTTAGATTTAAATTATTCTTATAATTGGAATGGCAGGCTTAGTTCAGTGTAACAATTGCTATGCATTTGTTTCACGTTCCACTTTTTGGAGGTTTGGTTGTTCTCTATCTTGCGGCAGGAGATTGTATTTTTGAGATTTGTAAACTATCTGGTGAAGAAACTCAGACTGGAACTGCTGCAAAGCCACTGCCGCAGAGACATACTAGGAATGGCAGATGGATTACTGTAGGATCTGGTAGACTTAAGAGTTGTGGATAAAATGCATTTTGCACAGTCTGTTGCTCTTCATAATTCATTTTCTGCACTTTCAGAGTGTAATGGTGTTGTGGAGAGAGGCACTGAGGCTAGTGGTGTTGTGGAGAGAGGCACTGAGGCTAGTGGTGTTGTGGAGAGAGGCACTGAGGCTAGTGGTGTTGTGGAGAGAGGCACTGAGACTAGTGGTGTTGTGGAGAGAGGCACTGAGACTAGTGGTGTTGTGGAGACCGGCTTGGAGACTATGGTGAGGCCTAATAGAAAGCAGTTGTTGTTGGGTGATTCCATTATAAGAGGTGTGGAGATGGACAATGGTGGTCTTGTGACGTGTCTTCCCGGAGCTACTGCTTACAGAGACAGGAGACGTATCTGTAATATTGTTAAGCAAGCAAAGCAGGAAGGGGAATTGGATGTACTTGTCCATCTAGGGACAAATGACTTGGCTTGCAATGAGGTTTCAGAGGTTAAAGAAGTTTTTAGTGTTTTTGCCAATGATATACGGCAGGTTGCTTCCACACTGTCATTCTCTGAAGTTCTGCCTGTGCATAACACTCAGAGCGACAGGCGGATGCGTATTAGGGACTTTAATTTGTGGCTTGGTGAATGGTGTCGGGAGCAAGGATTTGGCTTTATTTCTCATGGTAGCTCTGTTTGGAATGGAAATAACCTGTACAAAAAAGATGGTTTGCATCTTTCTCAAAAGGGAACAAATGTTCTCAGTGAGCAGTTCAGAGGTTTTTGCTAGGATGTATTTAAACTAGGGAGGGGGCAAAAGGGTGATAAAAACATCAATCCAATTGTCCCCCAAAACAGAAGACAGAAGGTGCCACCTGTAGCAAGTGTGTTAAAAATGATAAAGCTTAGAGTCAGCTCTACAAATGCTACTTGGTTTAGGGAATAAAAGATCCATGAACTTACTTGTAGCAATGGCAACTGATAGTGTAGATTTGAGTGGCTATTGCGGAGACTTGGGTACAATGAGAAAAATGACTGGGACATAGCAATACCAGGTACTCTTTATACTTATAGGAAAGATAGAGGAAGGCAGAAAGGGAGGGTGGCCTTGGCATAGAAGGATAGCACTTAAGTGCTTCCTAACCAGAAGTTAGTAGAGCAAAACCCACTTGAAGTCCATTTGGGCTACGTTAGAATTTGGTAATCACACAGTAACTTCATTGTAGGTGTGATTTGCAAACCCCTGGACAAATTGAAGAGAGTTAGATAATGTAGTTGAGGAAATAGCTAAAAATGACAATGAAGGGGGAAGTTATCATCATGGGTGACTTTAATCTTCCTGATGTGAATTGGAAAACAAAAATAGCTGCTTGTGCCAGGAGCACACATATTCTAAACTCCCTACTGGGATTGTCTCTAAAACAAGTTGTTGAGGAGCCAACTCGTAAAGAGGCCATACTAGATTTAGTTTTAACAAATGGAGATTTGGTATCAGATGTTACTGTGGGTGAAAGTTTAGGATCCAGTGATCATCAGTCAGTGTGGTTTAATATAAGAACAGTGACTGAGTCACACCACACAAAAACAAAAGTTTTAGACTTTAGAAAAACAAACTTTTCTAAAATTAGAATATGTGTAGAGGAGTCATTATCAGACTGGGTAATTTAAATGGGCCAGAAAAAGTAAGGACTGGCCCCCAAAAAGTTGCACTGTGAAGGCAACAAGAGGATACATTAGAGCTTGTCCTGTGCGGCAAAAGGTAAAAAGAAACCACTGTAGTACTCCTTAGATGTAGCCAAAATAGTTAAAACAAAAAGTTAGCATTTAGGAATTATAAAAAAAAAACCCAGAGTGAGGAAGACAAAATGATCTATAAGATTAGGCAGAAAGAGGCTAAGCAAGTTATAAGAGCTTCCAAATCGCACACAGAAGAGAAAATAGCACAGTCAGTAAAAAGGGGGACAAAACATTTTTTAGATACATAAATGAGAAAAGAAAAGTAAAACAAGGATTAGTTAGATTAAAAACAAAAGAAGGAAGGTATGTAGAAAAGGATAAAGGTCTAGCTGACTGCCTCAATTAATATTTTTGTTCTGTATTTACAGATGAAAATGAAGGAAAAGGACCTCAGTTAAGAAAAAGGATAAATGAGTCATTTATTACACGTGAGTTTACAGAGGAAGAGGTTCTATTTCAACTGTCAAAAGTAAAGACAAATAAGTCAATGGGACCTGATAGAATACACCCAAAGCTATTAAAAGAGCTTAGTGGTGTACTAGCAAAACCATTAACAGATTTATTTAACCAATCATTGTTAACAGGGAGTAGTCCCAGAAGATTGGAAGTTAGCGTGATAATTGTGCCCATTTACAAGAGGTAATAGGGAGGAGTGAGGAGCTACCTAGAGCCAAGTAACCCACTGGTAGTAGTAAGGGAGAAATGCATTGAAACCATGTTAATGGATAGGATTGTTGAACATCTAAAAACACATGGATTTCAAGATCAGAGACAACATGGGTTTACTTCAGGGAGATCATGCCAAACTAATCTTATTGATTTTTTTGATTGGGTAATTAAAATTATAGATCAGGGTGGTGCAGTAGACATTGCTTACCTAGATTTCAGTAAGGCTTTTGACACTGTTGTACATAGAAGGCTTATCAATAAACTGCAATCTTTAAGTTTGGATTCAAATATTGTTGAATGGGTAAGGCAGTGGCTGAGTGACAGGCAACAGAGGGTTGTAGTTAATGGAATATATTTGAG